CCTGAGATGATGATTTCCACAATTTTCAGGGCACTTATATCTCCTATGCTCTGGCACAGATGTTTCTTTTCTTTCTTTTTTTTTTTTTTTTTTTTGAGACAGAGCCTCAACCTGTCACCCTGGGTAGAGTGTTGTGGCATCACAGCAACCTCCAACTCCTGGGCTTAAGCGATTCTCTTGCCTCAGCCTCCCAAGTAGCTGGGACTACAGGCGCCCGCCACAATGCCCGGCTATATTTTGGTTGTAATTGCCATTGTTGTTTGGCAGGCCTGGGCTGGATTCGAACCTGCCAGCTCTGGTGTACATGGCTGGCACCCTAGCTGCTTGAACTATAGGTGCTGACTCACAGATGTATCTTAATAAGACAACGGAGTATCTGCTCCTTTCTATTATTCAGGTTTTATCAACATGTCATCAAAGCATTGGACTATTCCGGGGTGTCCAATCTTTTTATTTCTCTGCCCCATATTGGAAGAGTTAAGAGTTGTCTTGGGCCACACATTAAACACACAAACACAGGGCGGCGCCTGTGGCTCATTGAGTAAGGCACTGGCCCCATATACTGAGGGTGAGAGGTTCGAACCCAGCCCCGGCCAAACTGCAACAAAAAAAATAGCCCAGCATTGTGGCTGGTGCCTATACTCCCAACTACTCAGGAGGCTGAGGCAAGAGAATCGCCTAAGCCCAAGAGCTGGAGGTTGCTGTGAGCTGTGATGCCACAGCACTCTGGGCGACAAAGTGAAAACTGTCTCTGAAAAAAAATAAAGTAAATAGAAATAAACAAACAAACACTAACAAAATGGTTGGCAAAAAAAGAAAAGGTCCAAGCAGTTTTTTTGTGATGCCCAACACCACAAATAAGCAAAAAAAAGTCTTCTGTGCCTGCAGGCTGCAGGTTGGACACCCCTGCTGGGCTATTCTCTGGCTAAAACATCTTCTACAATCTACTCACCTCCTGGGCACTTTTCCTCATTTCCCTTGATGGTGTTCTGAATTTCTCAGTTCTCTAAAAAACTTCCCAGCTGATGGGCAGTGAGATGTTGATTCCCTCATTGTCAGACTGGCCTGCTGGACTCTGGCTGTGGCAGGGGCAGACTCTGTCTGTTTACCACAAATGCTGTGAGAATCTCATACCTCAAGCTACCTCTTCCTTTTTCCTTTCTTGGCAACTTCCTTGTGACCTTGACTTCCCCTAATAGAAATCTTCATTTCATCAGCCCTCCTTTTTCACTTTCCTCCTTGTTTAGAACTAATTCCATGATCCAGACTTTCAGTAACACTCTTGCCATGTTAGAATACCTAACACTCCCCTGCCTGTCCGTCTTTGGAGAAGACATCCCTGCCTTGGAGAAGAAAAGCCCATCTATCAGTTTTGTTTTGTTTTCCAGGCTTACCCCCAAATAATTGAACATTACTGGGAAAAGTCACATTACAGGGCAGAGTAGTTCCATCATCACTAAGCAATCACCAAACTCAAACGTGCCCTCGACATCACCAGCCATCCCACTGCAAACCTCTGGTCAATTCCTCTCCTTCACATACTCACAGTGGCAAGCATCTTAGTTTGTCTTTTCTGCCTTATAGTAAGTTACCAGAAGCTGGATAATTTATAAAGAAAAGGAACTTATTTCTTACCGTATGGAAGCAAGGGAATCGAAGGTCAAGGTGAGAGCCTTCTTCCTGATGGGGACTCTGTGGTGTCCCACCATGGGACAGAGCATTGCATGGTGAAGGAGCTGAGCGTGCTAATGCTAGCTCACATCTCTCTGCCTCTTCTTATAAGGCCACCAGTTACCTCTCCTGAGAAAACATCTTCCCAGTAACCCATTAATGCATGAATACATTAATCCATTCATGAAGGCAGAGCCCTTGAGATACAGTTCACTTCTTCAATACTGCACATATAGATGAAGTTTCAACATTTGTTTTGGAGGGAAAACGTTCAAAGTACAGCAGCAAGTACACTGTTTTTATTCTCTTCAAATCTTTGACACCCTCCACTCCCTCTCATTCCCTATGACTTACCTTATTTACTCAGATAAGAAAATAGGACAGCCCTTCATTTCTCTATACAAACCTGACTACATTGTCAGAACTGTCTTCCTCTAAGAACAGGGAAGTTGTTCGAATCTCATGCCAATCCTTTTCCTCTTTTTGATCTTTAACACTTCTCATAACATTATTACTGCTTTTAAGATTCTTCTTCTCTGAGCTCACCACCTATAGCTCAAGTGGCTAAGGTACTGGCCACATACACCAGAGATGGCAGGTTCGAATCCAGCCCAGGCCTGCCAAACAACAATGGCCAGGCATTGTGGTGGGTGCCTGTAGTCCCAGCTACTTGGAAAGCTGAGAAAAGTGAATCACTTAAACCCAGGAGTTGGAGGTTGCTGTGATGCTACAGCACTCTACCCAGGGCAACAGCTTGAGGCTCTGTCTCAAAAAAAAAAAAAAAAAATTTTTTTTTCTTCTCTTTGCATAGTCATGGTTGCCACCGAAAAAAGCTTTTATTGGATTTTTATTTTTACTTTATTTTTAATTTTTCATTTCATTTCATTTCATTTTTTTTTTTTTTTTGAGGCCAAGTCTCATTCTGTAACCCCAGGTAAAATGCTATGGCATCACCATAGATCACAACAACATCAAACTCTTGGGCTCAAGAGATCTCTTGCCTCAGCCTCCGAAGTAGCTGAGACTACAAGTGCCCAACACCAGGCTCAGCTAGTTTTTCTTTCTTTCTTCTTCTTCTTATTTTTGTAATTGAGACAGAGTGTCACTATGTCATCCTCAGTAGAGTGCCATGGTGTCGCAGCTCACAGCAACCTCAACAGGCTGGTTCGAACCCACCATCCGTGGTGCATGTGGCCGGCGCCCTTCCCACTGAGCTATGGGTGCCATCCTAGTTTTTCTATTTTTAGTAAAGCCAAGGTCTCGCTCTTGCTCAGGCTGGCCTCAAACTCCTGAGCTCAGACAATCCACCCACCTTGACCTCCCAGAGTGCTTAGGATTATAGGTGTGAGCCACGGTGCCTGGCCTATTTCATTGGATTTTTTTTAAAATGTGTACTTATTTTAGTTGTGGTTAAGATACATATAAATTTTACTGTATGAAACTTTTTTAAGAGTACAATTCAGTACCATTAAACACATTCACATTATCATACAACCATCACTACCACTTATATCCACAACTTTCCTCATCTTGCAAAACAGAAACTCTGTACCCATTAAATAATAACTCATCTGCTCATGCATGGTGGCTTATGCCTGCAATCCCAGCACTTTGGGAGACTGAGGCTGGAGGATCCCTTGAGCCCTAGAATTTGAGGTTGCTGTGAGCTACGCTAACACATCACTCTAGCCAGGGCGTCAGAGACTTTGTCTCAAAAACAAAAATAAAGGCTCAGCACCTGTGGCTCAAGTGGCTAAGGCGCTAGCCACATACACCTAAGGTGGCAGGTTCAAATCCAGCTCAGGCCCGCCAAACAACAATGACGGCTGCAACCAAAAAATAGCTGGACGTTGTGGCGGGCACCTGTGGTCCCAGCTACTTGGGAGGCAGAGGCAGGAGACTCACTTGAGCCGAGGAGTTGGAGGTTGCTGTGAACTGTGATGTGACAGCACTCTACCCAGGGGGACAGCTTGAGGTTCTGTCTCAAAAAAATAAATAAGATGGCAATTCTCTCCCAATCAATCTATAGTTACCCTAATTGCTGAAAAAATCTTGGCAGATCTGGGGGAGGGGTGTGATATTAACAAACTTACTTGAATAAGGCTTAAGAATAATAATCCATTAGAACGGCTATTATAGGGCCTAGTGTGATGGCTCACTCCTGTAATCCTAACGTTGTGGGAGGCCAGAGGCTGGTGGATTGCCTGAGCTGGTGGGTTCAGCAAGAGCAA